TTTTGATCAGTTCCGATATTAAACACTGTTGAACATAAATTTGTAATGCTTCCCACAATAAAAAATTAATGTAAGGACATTACATAGTTTACACACTTTATTTATTATTTTGAAATTTAACATTTGGTGCATGGAAGCTAGATATTGTTCAATTTCCTCTTTCATTGTGTTTCTAATATTTCTTGCGGCCAGATCTCTGTTTCGCATATTATTTCACGCTGATTCTTAGAATTGTCAAGACCTACAGCAGCAGACGGCATGACATTTACAGGAAGTAGAATTCCAGTCTGGTTTTCAATCAATCCATCATCAGATCAAGCACCCAGGTGACTTTGGATGGTATTTGAAAATGAAGAACAGAGACCCAGTCTTAGATAATACCCAGAATGCAACAGTTTTATGTCAGTGTGAGACTTCTATAACAATTGTCAAGATCAATCATTTATGACATTTATTTGATTGTTTAGCTAGGAATAAAACAATTCCATCAGTATTATGCAACTTTTTCTGAAATTAAATGAAAAAGCCATACTTTTTAGCTGAAATGAATTAAAAACATTAAAAATCAGGCAAGCTTAACATCATACGGGTAAAACTCATTTTCCTAGACAAAGGACTGGGACATGGTTTATCCAACATGCCTCATTAAGTCTAAGGACACCTTAGAGATAATTCTATTCATCATTGTAAACTTAGTTCCCGGAAAAAACAAGATTTACTGCTTGAATATTATTGTTGCATTGAAATTATCAGAAAGGAAAAGTTTTCTGTTAATGAAAGATTCACATGTAGTGAATACGATGTTATTTTGGCAAATGTGCTCGTTTTCCGTCACCTTTGTCAAGTAAGAAGCTTACGAAGTCGTACAAACCTTAATGTTGTTTTAATGTTCATACCTTAACAAGAGACATTATGATCCGCTAAAATTGATTGCCTTATTTCTAATGTTGGTCATCAATGTAATTGGCAGAACCAGAAATCCTGTATGTGTAATTAATTTTTATCGTTACGATTTCACCGCAACGATGATGATGATGAGTTATGCGACAATTGAATCAGACTAATCATGTAAGCATGGCTGATCTTTGACTGTAGAAAATAATAAAATCCTGTCATTAATTCCCTCTACGATTTGGCTTTTTCGCAGCTCCGTTGGGTTGAATACGTGTTTTTCTGTTTGTGAAATGACCTCTAGAATCCTGCTGTCGAAGACGAATGCAATCCTGCCACAGGCTCATTTGTAAGCAGACAATTGATGTTCTCAGCTTTCGATCGCATTCCGTTCCTTTACGCTTATTTATCGTCCCGCAGTTACGGAAAAAGTGGAGGGTTACCAAAGTTAGCTGACCCAATATAATGCAATTGGTTTGATCAAAATTTGCAGATTATTTATACAGAGTATTCATCAAATTGATTACACCGAGTCTTAGACAGAGCTTACAAAATTTAATTTTACCATGACTTTGACAGATATGCATGCTGCAAGTACGTTCTATTCTTATGCTTCATTCTAGCAGAAACATAACGAAAATTAATGAATTTGTACAATGTTTGCAAAGCACTTTATAATGTAGATGTGGTTTTCATCCATTACGTAAGATCTGTCAGATTTCCAGATGACTGCTTGGACAACCGGCCGTACAACAGGAAAACATTTGGGCAAATGGAGAAATAGACATTTTTTATGGTAAAGATGCATTTTGGGTAATTTGTTACAACTCCAAACTCAGTCAGAGATCATGTGAAGTGGAAATAAAAAACGGTTTTGCGTTACATTATATAGATGAAGCTTATGATGTGATTTGTGACTTGAATAGTCAGCTGAGAGGCAAAGGCTGTATGCTTCACTACCCACAATTCATTAAAATGGCTTCTTGCAAATTAAAATTCTGTGAAATCAGAGGCCACAGCTTTGGCTGTTTGCTGGTTGTGGTTATTTTTCAATGGCAACGTTTTACTCTTGCACCATTGCTGATGATTGTACGTTGAAAGTGATACCTCGCAGATGGGTTCTTCCCTCCTCTTTAGTAAAACAAAGAATGATTACTCGTGTAAACTTTGACACCATATGGCTTCATTTTTTTCGCTCTTTAGTGAGATGTAAACTTTTAATGCTCTTTAAAAGTGTTTTTAATATCACTTTACAGCTGATTATCTACATATCTTTTTTTATACTTTTCTAAAGAAAATCATGTTTTAATTGTGCTTTTTTTTTATAATCAGAGGGAAAAATTGTATTGTTTTCAGTCAGTATGTTATTCGTGGAAAAGTTGGCTTCTGGATTGAGACTTTGTTGATTTCTTTTCTTTGTAATACATTTTTAAAGCATAGAATTCCATGAGGATGAATTATACATTTTTCATTATATTAATGGTAGTGAATTAAAAGGTATCATGATTACACTAATTGTCAATAATCCTAATATTATTTCATGTATATGGAATGACAATACTTACACATGAAAAGGATATAAGTGGTCTGTTATTGTTTGGATACCCTCTTATATTACAGCTTATATTTCATACAGCTCAGCAGCAGAATTTGATGATGCTTGCTTTAATTGAACATCAATACTTAATCTAACTCGAGTGTCAACTTTGGTCACTTGCCGTCATCTATTTCCCAAATCAAATTTTCTACCGCTAGACACCCTATTTCCTACGTTTTCCACGTGAAAGCATCCATATTTTACACAATATGAAATGTGTGATTAGGTTTGGAGTTGGGGCGGAAGATTTGGTTGACATCAAACTGTCGGCTTCGTCGTGCAATGACAATACGATGATATTTTCTCCCCGCAAGACATTTTTTCTCGGAGCTCTTCTATCATAACCATGATTGCCAATCATTTTTTATTGCCAACATATTTTTTTTATTCTTTTAGAAAACCCTCAAATATTGTCTTTCCTTGTTTTTGGCATTTTGAATTATTTTTTAATCTTCAATTAATTTCCTGGTTATGTTAGAAAATTACAGAAATTGGTAAAATTGCGGTTTATTTGATGAAAAGATGAATAGAAATATTTTTCAGATTTGAAGAAGCTATGATTAATTAGTCTACATAGGAATCTGAATTCTAAAGAGTACTGCAAAAAGTATAAGGTTTTAAGACTGTATTGCCGTATCACAATGTTTTGTGATTGTGATTTTTAATTTTTCTTGACAGATTTATATAATTGTTGATTTAAAATATGAATTTATTGGTATTCATGAAATACATGTACGACCATTTTATTCCAAAGACTTGTCTATGATGTAAATATATTTAATTCATTCAACAGAATACAATTTATGTTCTGGATTGTGCAAAGTAAAATGGACATATGGAACACATAATCTGTTAGTGCATACTTAAGTTACATTAGAGAAAGAGGCTAGATTTCAATATATGCCATTCGGTATGGGCAAAAAGCATTTTGATTTTGAAGAAAAACATCACTTTGCTAAGTTTACACCTCGTAATGCTCTCTTCGCAGATTTGTATGCTTTTTTCATGAATGACAGAAATTATTTTCACACGTTTTTGCTTCTAGCGGAAGTTATCTCGTCAGAAAGAGATGATCGCAGCGACACCTAGTGGACACGATTGTAGTGCTCTCACACAATGTTATTTCCGCTAATCATTCCACATAATTTCAAATGTTATTTGCTATCTTAACACTTTATTTTGCAATGCTTAATTTAAGAGAAAAATTGTTTAAATGAGCGAATTCGGACAGAAAATGACTATCAAATCTGATTAGATTTTTTTGCAAATTTTATTACTCTTTGAAGTTATAAACGGCATTAGATACTGTCATTTATGAATCTATATGTATAAGCTGTCACAGAAGGTTTCATTTTATTTGTCGGCCCATTTACTCAACGTCACCCAAGAAGTTCAGATTTAAGTATTAAAACAGCATGTGCTGTTTAAATTACCCCTAATGCGTTAGAATTTATTCAATTTCACTAAAGAGATCTTAGCAAGTTTTCCTTTAGAAAATTTGTTATTGAATGGAATATTAGAATCATGGGGTGACCGTTGTAAATCAAGTTTGCCTTTGATGGTTTTGTTGCATATATTGGTATATGGCTGAATGCAATTAAACCTTACCTACCTCTTTTCTGTATTTAGATAGCACTTTCTTGTACTTTCTCCTCAATTGGGTTCATCTATGTCGTCTGCTTCTTGCTGAGTTTATTTCTATGTGATGAAAACTGTTCCACTGTAATAATACTTTTTACTCTTTTCAACTTAAAAATAATTGTAAAAATATGATTGGGTGTACCTGTATAATTCAGTCCCAGCATGTAACACTCTAAAATGCAATATTCGTTAAAGGATGATGTTTTATAAAAGTTTGCATGAAGCGAGATGAAGATAATCCGTAGGGTTGATGATGAAAAGTATGAGTTTCAATCAGTAGTTAAGTTGATTGTATGAATTCTGGTAGATTAATTTACTTGATTACTTCATTTTATTATTTTTTTACACTTACTTATTGTATTTTGGTATTAAGTTAATCCTGACATTAATTAGGTCCTGTAGCATATTTCAAAATGAAAAACCATTTATAGAAAGATTTTTTTTCTAGTTTTTTCTTTTATGTATAATCAAAACATTCTAAAATTTTTGTCAATATAATGCTTAAAAGTTTGAGTAACACACACACACACAAACAAAAAAAACATTATAAAAAAAACAACAAATTTTTATTAATATCATTAATATTACTGTTATTGTCATGTCATCATCATCACCATTATTATTATTATTATTATTATTATTATTATTATTATTATTATTATTATTATTATTATTATTATTATTATTATTATTATTATTATTATTATTATTATTAGTTGTAGTGATAATATTATTATAATTAACATTATTATTGTCATCAACATTTGTTGTTACTAAGTTATTATAAAAGTTAATTGTTTTATTGAAGCAGGATTTCTGTAGTAAAGATTTTAGGAAGTAATGAATTAAACTATGTTTTGTTTATTTTCAGAAATCTGCAGATATATTAGCAAAGATTCCAGTTATAATGCTGTCAATTTCCTACAAGGGTGTCAAATTTATAGATGCTAAATCAAAGGTAAATTTATATGTTGAGTTTTAAACATTGTAACTCTAAGTTATTACAATTATGAATATGAACTGAAAGTATATACTAATTGAAGGTAAAATAATGTAAAGAATTCTAATTTTAATAATAAATATGTAAATGAACAATGTCGGGTTAATACAGCATTAAATCAAAGGTAAGTAATGTCAATATCTTAGCTATTGTTGTTTGCATGTTCTATGTTAGGTTCTTAAATGCACAACCAATAGTGTTTTATAGATTTTACATCAAATGTAAATATAGGTAATTAAATGTTACAAAGTTAGGATAAAAGATTTAAAATCATAGTTATTACTATTTACATAACCATCCCAGATAAAAGACAAAGTAATTAATATTCTGAAATATAGTATTTACTTAAAGTGCATGTTCCATGTCAAAAAATCAAAGGCGTTTTATTTATATAATACTGACATAATGAAATTGCTTGACATAGTGTATGTCAAGGACTCAAGGTCATAGATTCTAAATCTTAGGTATAGTAAATGTCAAGGTAATGTCAAGGTATAAGATTTTAAATCAAAGATACTAGAAGATTTATTGATTTATTTATTGTCAAGCTTATAGATTTAATGTAGAAGATTTATTGATTTTTTATTGACAAGCTAATAGATTTATTGAGCAAATATTGAAATGTACATGGGCCTGAAATATGTGTACAGGCATTGACATGGTCAAGAAATGTAACATTAATATATGTTGGTTTTATTTGTATTTTCAGAAAGTGATATGTGACCACGAGATAGGGAACATTTTCTGTGCGTGTCAGGACACAGACAATCTTAATTTCTTCGCTTATATCACACGTGATATAGAGACGGGCCAACATTACTGTCATGTGTTCAGTGTAAAAAGCTCCGTAAGTTAGATTTTTGTTAAACTATTCCAAATATTAATTTTCTGTGAACACCCCTTTTGCAGTGCAAGGAATAGCAGGTGAAATTTACATAAATCCAATGTTTTAAAATTTAAAATTGAAATGCACAATTTCTAGTTTTACAAAAAGAAAGGGTGTAGATAGGAAAGTTAAGTCAGCGAATTTAAACAATTAATTTGCTATTTTTGATTTTTTTTTAGGGTTTAGTAATTTCTGACAGAATGCATTCATGTAAAAAGATAAAAATTGTGGCCATTTGCATGACACGTAAATTTATTACATTACCTTCTATTTAGTTTAAATTCATCTAATATATTTTATATTATAAAGTTTTGAAACTCAACATTTACAGTTAATCAGGTATTTCAATATTATCTCCCCTTGACTATTACAATTTTCACTATTTTCTTTTGACTTAAGATAACAAGAAAGTTGCCATCTTTCCTTTTCAGTAATTTTCTAATTTTTCCAATTACAATTATCTGTTTGATTTGTGGGAGATATTTGAAGCTGGCCCACAATGGGTTCTTATGAATTCAGTTAGTAAGGTGCAAACTTTTTTTTTGTTAATAATGATATCATCTTTAAGCGCAAAGAATGAATTTAAGTCCCTCTTAACTTTGCCTTTTTTCCCCCTTAGGCAAAACAACTTGTCTCAATAGAGAAAATACAAAATGCTATAATTTGTCAGTGATTATCATAAATTTAGGGGGTAAATCTATAATGATAGGGCATTGATGGCTCGAGTATCGTAAAAGCCTCGAGGGTCGGACAACTGTTTCATTAGAGATAATACTGTCTGTAGGGAACTGATTTTTAGAGATACATTTTTGAGTATGGTGAGTTGAAAGAAAGGGGGTGTTTGCCTCTTTTTGTGACTGTATAATTCACTGTTTCTGCCTCCCTCAACCACAGATGTTGAGCTTTTCCAAGTTTTTTGTTAGCTTTTTCTTTTCGAGGAGTTTTACAACTCAATTATATGTCAGATATATAAAACCTCTCATGATCTTATTCGTAGATTATAATAATATCCATTATTTCAATGAATGTAAAAATACTATAATTTTTGTACAAATTCCAAGTTTGCTCATTTTAATATCTACACAAGAATGTCTAAATCAACTATTACTCTGAAATGAACTTGTCCATCTTTCAGTCTGGACAAAACAATTCTTCATCTTTAAGGAAAATTTCAAAATAAGTACTGTCTTAATAGTGATCAATATACAGCCCACAATCAGATGGCACAGCTGTGCTGGCTTGTCTTGGTTGCATGGGTAGATCATGCCGCTGACAGCAGGCTCTGTTATGAAGAAAACCTTGACATGTTAAAACGTTCTGAATATAATTATATTGTTTCATGTAAAAAATTTTTTTTTTAATGTACATTTTGTTGAAGGGAACCATATTGTGTTTCTTTAATTTTTTGTCTCCAATTAATGTACCATGTATTTAAAGGTTGATCTTTTATTTATTTATTTTTTTTTTTTTTGTATAATGGACCCAATGAATAAAAAAGATTGTTAAGAGACGCGTATAGAGTTTCCATAAATAAATTGAGTCCAGAAATAATTCTTTGTTTTTGTATGAGAACTTTTTTATGACATGAAATTATAAGTGTATGTTAGCACTGATGAAGATTAGTGTTATTGTTGTTGTTGTTATTGTTGTTGTTATTATTGTTGTTGTTGTTATTGAGTCAATCCTAGCAGTCTGACCAGACTTGCTACAAATTTTAAAATTATCAAGTAACAGTTCCATTTATTCACAGATTGACTTATATTTAGCAAGTTGTTTTGTTAAATGGTATTTTGGGTGGTCATTCGAGTCCTTCTTGGCAAGAATTTTACATGGATTTAGAATTAATTAGCATTACTTGCAGAGTATGCATTTTTTGAGTGGACATCTGTTTATAGATGACCACAGATAGCTGGGTCAGTATTAGACAACTGGACAGTTGGTTATCTGCTAAATGGTGATGGTATGCCACGATACTGTCACTAGTTTTCATGTTGAATTTTAAACCTGTCATAGAAAATATGTCAAAATTGTTTGAAAAGTAAATAAACAAGAACGATTTTTACATGTGTAAAGAAGTGGTAATTTGTTCATTAATTCATTGTTGTTAATTCATTTAATTATAAAACGTTGTCATAGATGCAAATTTCTTGTTAGCAAAATGTAATTTCGTGAAATTAAAAACTTAAAATTAATTTAAATTTAAATTAAATTTAAATTTTTGAAATTAAAAAGACTGATCTACCTCTAAGTCAAGGTTACAGAATGGTTAAGTAGTTTAGTTGGCATGGTTGGATATTCTTATACTTCAATATAAAGTGATGAGTGACAAGTTTAGTGTGGTCAGTTGGTTGGCTAGTTGCTAGGACAGGAAGTGTGGTCAAGATTCAATCACAATAATATACTAACATATCTCTGCGGTCATCTTGTAGTGTAGATGTAAAGAAAATATTATTTTTGATGACCGTGTCCACTTGAGATGTCACCGTGGCTCGTGTCATATCTTATCTATAGAGAATATCATGTATGATAGATGGCTATCTAATGCGGGCCTTGTCTCTTGTGTGTTAACATTATTATTTTTGTATGATATAAAATTAAAATTCATGACGAGATATATGATGGGCTCTTACAAATTCTTAGTTGGTTTGATAAGACGGTTCTGTTCTTAACCCTTCAACTGATGGCAGCAACTGACTGTACAAATGCAACCAGTGTAGACTGTAGTCTGGCTGCATGGCGGAGTGGTTAACGCGTTGCACTATCATAGTAATCTAAGGATTACTGATCGTTTTGGTTCAAACCCTGTCAGTGGCAAGCGGTGGGTTCCTTGAGCAAGAAGCTACATAATCCTTGCTTAGTATCAGTTGGTTCCAGGAACTAATTTGAGAAGGTTTTAATAAGCTAATAGCTTCCAACACATTTAAACTGAAATCAATTTGTATAAACTAAGTCTGTATCCATGGTGTTTGATCATCATCTGCACTGTTTGCTATTCAGTCAGTACATATTTTTAAAAATTTCACCTAAAAATGATGAATGGATTTGCCAAGACTGAAAGATGGACAAGTCTATTTAAGATATTTTAGTGTGGTTAGAGTTAATTGTAACTTTTTCAGAAGAATTTATATCAGTGTATGATAATTTGTCAAATATTTCACTATTATTTGAATATACTTTAAAAGTCACTCAATATATATTGTCAAATTTTACCAAGATTTGCAAATTTCCACAAAAAAACAGTGATTTTCTTCATATGACAAACTGTTAACATAGATGCACATATAGAAATGGGTTTTTTTTGTGTTTTGTTTTTTGTTACATGTGAAATTAAAGAAAAAGGTATTAAGATTAACAAAGAAATTTTTGAATATATTTATACTTGTGAAATAAGCTTAATATAAAGTGTTATCATGTCAGTTTATGTCAGTTTTTATGTCAGATTTTATGTCTATTAATTTCATTTTAACATGAGTTACAGCCTATATATGCTACTGTTAACAGGTGTAGAACATTTTTCGGGGATAATTTTTTAAAGATTACGTCAAGAGAAGAGAATCGCTGTCACGGTGATAGACTAGATTTGTGACAGCTGCTTTGTTAAACTACTCACTGTTAGAAACGATGCCTACTTGGTGGTCCTGTCTATTTAAGTAATCATCGTTTTGTCACCATGGTTTTTTTTCTCTATTTACTAAAAACTTAATATGTTGTTTAAAGCTATTTCTTCACACATTTGAGATGTTATTTTTCCTCACTGTCTTAAAGTGATAATATTTTGTTCTAAGCTATGGCAATGAAAAGCTGGCTATTAGAATCAAAGGTTGGTTGTTGATAATTTTGATAATATTATAAAGGATTTAAAATAGACCCTTTTGCCTGAGCCAGAGAATTGGTATGATCTCAAGTTATGGTGTCACAGTAGAGAAAAAAACTTGTATATTGACAAATAGATAGTACTATTAAGAAAACTGTGCAAGTTGGCAACAGGGATTATTCAGGTGCTCTTTCTACAAATTAGCTGGACCACTTCAGTACATGAAATAATTCAATGACAGTGATGAGATTCATACTCATTGCAATGTTTGGCAAGTGGTTTTGATAAAGTGACCATTACCACTATGCCACAGTGAGCATTATCAGGTTAAGAACTATAGAGATACATTGTACTTTTTAAATTGTACCAAGATAAAACTAAAAACAGAAATTGGTAACAGAAAGTCGATTATTGCCCATAATAAGACTGTCAACTTAAAGGGTCATTTTAGTTATCAAAAAAAAAACCACACCCATTTCAAAAATGTTGCAGTTTATAATGAAAATCACTTGGGGTCTGTCTCCAAATTGTAATCTTAATTGATATTTGTAATGCATTGTGGTGTCAGATATTGAAACCTTGTACAAATAGAACGTAAGATGTGTGTTTTGAAACCGTCAAGAATATACGATGTTGGTGGTAGGATTGTCAGTGATGTCCCACGTTTCTAAGATTGACAAATATTTGGTCAGCCTTATTAGCCGATGATAATCCATTTATATACGAGTAATTTCCATCTTATAATAGAAACCAGTATCAGATGCAAACAGTTTTTGTCCAGGTTTTGTAAACTGTCAGTCAACGTTAGTGTGTTAAAATGATTTTTGTTAAATTCGATAGTGTGATAACTTCACACATTGTCATCATTGCTTACAGGGAGAAGGGGTTTTGATTAAATTTCAGTTTTACTTTAATGATGAATGTACTCTCTCTTTTGATTTTTGTATATATACAAATGTGTACAGAAAAATGTTAATCTTTACATCTTGCTAGAATGGAAAGTGTTAAGCCTTTGCCACCCTTTAAAGAGCCAGGGCCCAGTCTATACATTGTTTGCAGTCCAACATGGCTCTATACCCTTATTCTTGATATCCCCAAAATTGTCAATGGACAGTTCCAAAAATGGAATCTTTGGACAAGTCCATGT